AAGCGAAGTTATGTATCATTTATTAATTTGACAAATAGTAGGATCAGATGTTTTCATTTTTTACAAACAACGCAGAAGTAGTATAGTAGATATTTTGTCCAATCTGTACACGAGCAAAAGTGAAAGAACTTTCTTTTGAAGAAATGTGGTTAGTTTCTGTCACAAGTTTAATGTTTCAGTACAAGGATAAAGAAGAATCTTCTCTGTGGACGAAATGAATATACATCTACTTTTCTCTAGTAATACACTGCAGATTAAAGATATGCACGGCCGCTTGTACAGCTCTTTACTGTTCATACGTACTTTAGACGTATATGATCATAGTTTTGACAAAAGAAAAAAAAAAGAAAATTTTTCTACAACAAAGAAGTGTAGAGACATAGCTACAACAAAATATAGTCGATAGATCATATAAATAGCCGCTGTACCTTCGATTTCTTGTTGTAGATATTGAATTTTTCGAAAAAAAGAATGCCTTTAAATTTGGTATTGGGTAAATTGTTTATGTCGATGGTTTACAGAATTTTAGTATGAATGCTTGTTAAGTAATAAATTTACTTGTTTCTTTTTCGTATGCGCTACGTATGTCTGTTTTTTTTTACAGGTGATTTCATAAGTATTGTTGAAAATACTAATAGTCTATCAAGAGAAATATTAGTTATTACTATCATTATATGTATACAAATCATCATTAACCGCTTCGAGAATCAGCGTGTACCGAATTTGGAGGAAGCTCTGCATCGACTTGAAGAAGAGCGTCGGGATCAAGAAGAGGATTAATCAAACCTATGATTATGTGGGGTTGAAGGTGGTGAATATAAACTGTATATACAATAATCTGTGTTACATTCATAAATTAAATTTATTTTTACCAATTCCATTTTGTCGTACCGGTCGTATGCGCAGCTGGCGACAAAACTGTTAAACTCTTGTCTGATGTAAACACCCAGACCATGATGAGGGCGGTTTGAGGATGAATTCGTGGGTTTTATTATCGAAATGATATAAATCGTAATTTTGTATTTCATAGTTTAATGTGTTACCATTTAAGGATAACCACGGTTTACTTAAAATTACAATGCATATCACCAACAAGAAATTAAAGTTCATTTAAAGTTAAAGAAAAGTGCTTTTTTGTATTCAGCACACTTGATAACCTAGAAAATTTTCTGTTTTTAGCTAGGGGTACCTCCAAAAAGTTAAGAAAAATTTTCGAAATTGTATAATTTTACTGTGGAGATTTTTCTGCGTCAATTTGTTTCAAAAATTTTCTTAACTTTTTGGCGATACCCTTCGCTAAAAGTAGAAAATTTTCCAGGTTATCGAGTGTGCTGAATACGAAAAAGCACTCTCCTTTAACTTTAAACAAACTTTAATTTTTTTTATCGGTGATATGGTCTGAGTTGGTAAAAAGGACCAGCTGTATAGTTTGCGTTAGTTGGTAAATTTTCTAATGTTTTCTGTTTCGCAATACATCTATTTGTATAAGTGCCATCCAGTTTCTGTTTATTGTAAAATTTTCTTATTACTTGTCTGCATTATTCTGTACTTTAGATGAGAGTGATGTTACATTTTCTTTGTACGTTACATCAGGGTCGGATGTAACGGAAAAATCATAATCATCATTTGCCGCTATATGTGGCCATGTTGCTTCACCAACGAAACGTCTACAGGTACATGAAGTTTTATATATCAAATTAAAGCTTATTTTAAATGGACCTCAATGCCATAGTGTTTTGTGATAAAGAAAGTAAAGGCTCTTTTTAGAAGGTATTATTTTGAAACGGTCTGTGAAAAGTCTGTTCGGAGTTTAAAATTGCAATGTATTTGTTGTTTTAGATAGATAAATAGTGTTCAGTGTCGTCTAAAAACTGGAATTTTTGGAATTTTTTTCATTTCTAATGCAAATTTTGAAACACTGAACGGATTTTCAACAGATCCTTTCAAAATCCTATCTTTTGAAAAGAGTTTTTACTTTTTTTTATCAGACTCCGTTCTTTCGCCAAAAGAAAACCTACGTTGAGTACTATAAACCCTGAGAAAATGGTTAAGTTCCGGCTTAATTTGACTAAGCTAAAGCAAAAACGCAGTGTTTTACACACTTGGAAAATCTTACTTCCTGAGTATTTCACGTTTCCTAACCAAGAGAATTGCGCGAAAAAAAGTCAGAAATATATCATTCGATAGAAAAGTTTACGGGCTATCCGTTGCTGATCAAACTTTCAGCTTTTGAGCATCTTTCTATCGCCAAAAACTTCTTTTAGTTAGAGCTGATCCCAAAAACGGAAAAACCTCGATTTCTCCGCTCTAACTAAAACAAGATTTGGGCGGTGAAGACATGCTCAAAAGCTGAAAGTTTGATCAGCAACGGATAGCCCGTAAACTTTTCTATCGAATGATATATTTTTGACTTTTTTTTGCGCAATTCTCTTGGTTAGGAAACGTGAAATACTCAGGAAGTCAGATTTTCCAAGTGTGTAAAACACCGCGTTTTTGCTTTAGCTCAGTCAAATTAAGCCGGAAATTAACCATTTTCTCAGGGTTTATAGTACTCGACGTAGGCTTTCTTTTGGCGAAAGAACGGAGTCTGTATCTATCAAGGAAGTTGAGTTATTGCAAAAACAAAAAGGGTCTTAAACTTTTGTGGAGCACTTTTACTGGTACCAGTACCGGCACTGGTGCATACCTACAAGACACCACAAGAACTTACAAGAGCATACGAAATTTGACAAGATTTCATAAGAATGTTGGTCAAAGCCCTAGTCAATGTACTTGAGAACAAGTACTTAGAAAACTACTTGAATAAGTAATGTCCAGAGTACCTGCAGTTTTTTGCAAGTGAGAAAGGTACTTAGCAAGTAAGTTAACAAGTATAAGTACTAGATAAGTACTTCATTAAGTATTTGGCAGGTAACCTAGTAAGTACGCGCGAAATATGTGCAAGTATCGGCAGTACTTCCAAGTACTTGGCACCCATTAACTCTAAAACTGCTTGGGAAGTGCTGCACCAATTATACTTTAAAAAAAATGGAGTAGAGGTATTCGTAGCAAAATTGGATAAAAAATCATCAGATCTTATCTAAGACGACTTTTAGGTGGGTCTGATGTTTCACGCTATACCAGCTGGAAAACATACTTTGTATTCATGTAGTATGGCAAGCTGCTCTATGTCTGATACTTAGGGAGCATGTCAGAATGTATTCCGGTCGGTCGCTATTCCTCTGTTCCGCTATTCTTCTATTCCGCACACAACATTTCGTCATAAAAAACATTTTCAATACGAAAGATGACCCCGAGGTCGACTAACACTTCTTCTTCATACGGGAATTCGCTGTATTCTGCAATATCCGCATGGATACAGTCGCTAGTCAAAATTTCATTGATTGGCATAGCTAAGCTACTCATTTCATGTATCTCTTGTTGCTGTGAAAAGCTTTTGCACACCAAAATTTCCGTGCTCTAATTGAGACCGACCACTCTAACGTAAGAGGATTCTTGTCTGAAATACTAAGAGACAAGAATCGTAGGACACTGCTCAGTGTAAATTTTTTCTTACTTTTTCCTTTTAGTATATATGCGGTGATACATTGTATAAGTCCGTATGTTAAATTCGATTGGTCAGCCATCAGCCGATCAGATGAGTTTTTCGTGCTGGACATTTTTAAAACGATATTGTAGAATCATTTTTCATTGAATTCTAAATTCATTCGATAGAGAAAATTGTTCTCCTCCGGTCTGCCCCAGGCCGATCTTGCTTGCTAGCTTGTTCCATTGTTCCATTGGTTTTGGATTTTACTGTGAAAACGTTTTTGGCTCTGGAACTACGGAAGTTAGTTAGTCAGATTCAGTTTTTAAAGCTGAATGGTTGTCTCACAGCTCAAAAATGAAAGGGAGAAAAACGAGATTTTTTGGGGGTTTTCGGTATTTTGTGATTATCTCAGCGAGGAAATGTTTTTGAGCGACGGAGACATCATATTCATGATCGTCGCTCAAATCCCCATTGAATGGTGAGTTTTTCGTGAAAAAAAACAAAAAGCGTGGAAATTCTGCCTGCCGTGCATCTTACTAAAGTTAGGTTGTTAAGTGTTTTATTAAGTTATAATTTAAAATAGACGTCACCAACTGTTCAATCGCTTTTGAGACAAAACCTAAGGGGTAATAGGTAATCGACCATGCTGATCCCGAATATGATCATGGCTACTGCCTATAGGTCTCCAGAAGCTGGTTTTCTAGAAAACGAGTTTTTCAGAAACTCTGAAAAATAACCAAAATCTTTCTTAATGAGGCATGATTGTAGCCCGCATATTTCTGATTAAAATGAGATATCTCCCAGCTCTACATGACTTTTCTTTGCAAAGTTATGTAATTTACAAGAAAAGCCCTGAATTAATTTTGGCCTTATTTCTGCGACTTTGAGCTGGCAATGAACAGTCAGGGCCTTTCTTGTAAATTCCATAACTTTGCAAAGAAAAGTCATGTAGAGCTGGAAGATATCTCATTTTAATCAGAAATGTGCAGGCTACAATCATGCCTCATTAAGAAAGATTTTGGTTATTTTTTAGAATTTCTGAAAAGCTCGTTTTCTAGAAAACCAGCCTCTGGAGTCCTATAGGCAACTCCCACGGTCATATTTGGATTGGACAGTTGGTGGCCTTCCTCCGCCAGTACTATGATTAATTGGTAGTGCTTTTCTATTATGGCGGAAGGGGAGGAGGCGTGGAATTAGTAGATTTCGGATATAACACTTTATATAAGGTCATGCTTATATAATTCTGTTAGAAAGTTTAAAAGAAAACTAAAAACAGATCGAGATTAACAATCATGTTTTTTTTTTGTTTTTTTTATACAAAAAAAGGTTCCGTTCACGAGTAAGAGAATGATACTCATGTTTATTTCCTGATTTGAAAAAAACAGAAATCTGTTTCTTTTTTCTACCAAAATAATTCTGTAGGTTGTTCAATCATATGTTCATGTTCATCATCATCTCGCTGTTGTTCATTTCTTCGATCTGTATCACGATAAAAATACATCCCTATAAGTATAAGTGGTAAAGCACCTAAACTAAACCCGATATCCCATTTATCAAATTTTCCAGCTTGTGCCCATTCATTAAGTTTTGGAAATATAAACCAAAATGATGTTGCACATATTGGTGTCAAAGATGTTAAAATTGATAACCAATTTGCTGATATGTGATCCGTTAAAAATGTAGCAGTAATATATGTACCAATATATGAAAAAATAAATAATAATCCTGTTCCTGACGATAATGAACAACGGGATGCCGTATCACCACTACCAGCTCTATTAAAAAAACATTTAAAACCATTTGAAAATGATAACCAGAATCCATGTAAACTATTGGATGTACCAAAATTGGGTATTAAATCAAGACCAAATCCTAAGGCAATAATTAAAAATTGAAATAAACTTTCAACAGCTTGAAAATAAATAACAGAAAATCTTGTTATAACTGGTGATCGATGATTTATTTGCTGTTTCATTTCTTCAGTATATTTTACTTGTAATTGTTCTTGAACAATATTCATTAAAGCAGCTGGTATTGTTCCTAAAACAAAAATAAATGGCCAATACCAACCATGTTTTAATTCTGTTGTTGATGTTCCATCATGTATTCGTTTAAATGTTGGTATTAAACTAAATAAAATACCATTAAAAACAATACAAGCTGATAAAATATGATACCAACGATAAACTTTATTTTTTAATAATAATTTTGATAAAATAAATGTAAATGGTATCATTGATTGTACAAGAATAGCTGTTAAAGATGGTGGTACACGACTTGCATGTGAACTAAAAACAATTAAAAAACCATTTAAAGCATCACATAATCCAGCTAAAAACATATATTTAATCCACTTTAATTGTAGCATGTCTCGAGTAATTTGTTGTTTATAATATAAAACACCAGCAACAGGCCAAAAAAATAAATTGAATGATAATGAACAAAAAAATAAAACAAAATAAACACCTGTTAAACCTTGAAAACTACCTAAGAATAATGTTAAACCAATTGATTGACCTGTTGATAAGAGAACATTTAAAATTGAAAAAATGGTAGCAATTAATTTAAAACTAAATAGCACACGATGAAAAATGGTAAAACCAGGCTGTTTCTGTTGAGAAATTGTACGACCAACTAACAGTGGACTATTTTCATTGTTTTCGTCATTCAATGAAGTCATTGGGATGATTACGTATCTGAAGTAATAATTAAAGAATATACTGAACCAGAACTGCTCTATCTCCCTCTCTATAAAGTCTAAGAAGAAAAATTATTACTTTGCATTAGCTTGTATAGAAGTTATAACATGTCGCAAAAAAGACACGTTTTCACAATCTATAATTCAAACTTTAGTTCATTATTCTTATCTTAATTTTCTCAATCTATTAGCTTTTGAAAAATTCTATGAACTACTATAGGATTCAAAATATAAGGTACTATGCGCCTCTTTGAATAACTCGGTAACGCAAAGAGATATTCCGAAACGGTTTTCGTCAGTTTGTAGTCAAGTCTGGGAGACATCGAACTATACAAGAAGAGAAATTTTCAATCGGGTGTTTAGAGGATTTCCAGGTGGATCTTCAGAAAACCACACTAACTTTCAAGGATCAAATATTGGATTTTAATTTTCCACACATGTATTTGCTAGAGAAAATTGTTCTCTTTCGAACTACGTAAAGCCGGTGTTTCTAGCTTGTTCCGTTCAGAAGTTATACGGATTTCCCAGAGACCTCCGATTTCGACCTGGATCAGCCCAAAATAGGGAATTACCCATTAATCGACCTCACTGAGTCGAGTGATGATGTTTGCTTCCAGTCTTAAAGCTATCTGAAGTCACCAGCTCAAAGTGTTCGAAGCATCGTCATTTTCTGGTATATAGCGGAAACAGGTGGATACTATTTGTGTGATCTGACCCATTTATTCATCAAGTCATCACAAATTCATATTCGAAAAGAGAAAAGAAAGAGAAAAATCCAATTTCTGCGTAGAAAACACTATTTTGTTCTCTGCTTTTTTTTTTCATTGTCTTTCTTCTTTTGTTTGCTTAAATCTATAATCAAACAAATTATATTTTTAACATATAAAACAAATATAGAATAATTAAATCTACTACATCTGTGTGTTTTATCACGGTGAAAAACAAAGAATTCATTTGGTAAACAAGCCATGTGTTTACGATCGGATACCCTAAAATACCAGTAAAGTCCCTATGAGTTTCCCGAAAGGATCCGAAACATATCCTACTAGAATTTCGCTTAATTCCTTAGGCTCCTAACAAATCATGCAGAATCCTAGTGAAATCAGATATACCTGAAAGTAATAGGTTTTTCTAAGATTCTATAAAGATTTAGACAAAAAAACAAGCGAAATCCTAGTAGGATCGTAGCATTTTTAGGATCCTGTTAAGAAGTTATTAGGCGGATCCTAAATGTTAGGATCCTGTAAGATCCCAGTAGGAAATAGACAGGAAGTGCGTAGAATTTTGTGTAGGATAGTGTCGTAATTGTATAGAATTAATGTTTGTCGCCACCTGCACGCTAAACCGGCAAGAGCAATCATACATATAAGAGCAGATACGTAATAGCCAATATCAACCATTAACATTACTGTGAATAGTAAACTCTGATAAATATGTACACAATAATGGATTGTCAGAACCGGAGGAGTTTTCTCAAGTATTTTCAATGCTAATCGGGTCATTGCTAACACGAGTATCCCGTCAAGTACCTGTACAACGCTACCGCCGCTTACTACCACCTTCGATTCGTGAAGAGATTAAGGTGCTACATAGGCTTCGTAATCGTTAGTACAAGAACAGAAATCGTAGTCTTTGGTTATATGACCTGTATCAAGAACACAAACATTATGTAAATACTTTAATTGAAAATTACAGAACCAATCAATATCTTAGATTCCTGGATTTGTGCTCTTCTAGTGATTCAATATCCTTTTGGAAATTCACATCAAAGCATTTTAGTTCCCAGGCTGCTCCTATCAAAGCAATAACGGATGCTGATAGTTTAATTTCAAACCCTGAAGACATACTACAGCATTTAGCAGACCATTACAGGAATCATTTCCGTTTTCCAATTGAACAGGTGATAGAAGAAACAAAGCTGGATGTTGAAGAGGAAATGCAGCTAGCTTTGGCAGAATATTTAACACATTCAGGAGATCCTTTTAACGTGACTTATGAAGAAAGGATATTAGCCATTTACATCCAAAAAAAGCTCTGGACACGCAAGGAACTTCGAACCTAACAATAAAAAAGCTTCCAATTGAATACGTTTGCCTATTTGTTGTTCTATTTAATCGTTTATTTCTCACTAACTCATTTCCGAAATGTTTTAAAAATGCTCGTGTTCTGTCGCTTTTTGAGGAGCTACGTACAACTCTCTCCTCCGGCCGATCAGGCTTAGTCCTATTCGTGGATTTCAGATCAGCGTTCGACCGAGTTTGGCACGACGCATTGCTAGTAAAACTAGCTAGGCATCGTATCAATCCTCGGTTATGGTTGTGGATCTATAGCTGGATTAAAGATAGAACTGCTTTTATTTCGTTCAATCATCTATCAATCTACATCGTTTCCGTTGCAATGGGGCACCCCTCAGGGCTCTGTTCTTTCTCCTCTTTTATTTATTCTTTTTATTGCGGATTTAGTTAAAGTTTTGTCGACTCAAGCTCAACATTAATATGCCGATGATCTGGCTTTATTCTTTTCTGCTTCGCTTGGTATGCAATATCATTCAGCAATGGCTTTTTTGAAGCGGAAATCTCAAGGCGCACTAGACGAGATTTCAGGCTATTGCAAAAAATGGTTAATCGAACTAAGTACAAAAAAGACAGAAGCAATGTTGATAAATGTTAAACATAATCGATCACCATTTCAACTATCGTACAACGGTGAGACTATTTCATTTGTAAAAGCTTTCAAGTACCTCGGGTATATGATTACTCCGCGTCTCGGCCTTGGGAAGATGCTTATTTCTCAGCGTCGTCTAATTACTTCTTCGTTTCTCGTCTTTTTTGCCGTTCTGGTATTTTGTCCATAAAACTTCGTCGCCGAGCTTTTTTCGCCTTTGTCTACCCTTTTTTTATATGGTTAGCTCCAGTTTTTTTCTATTTCACTGATATCCAACAATGCAAACTGTCCGATTTATATGCGTTTTATTTAAGGCGGGTGTATGGTTTAGATTTTCTCGATTATCGAGTATTTTTTTCTTTAACTAGCGAAAGAACTTTAGCGGATCGATTTTCTGCTTACTGGCTTAAATTTATTTCTAAGGTTCCATTTTTTCCTGACAATGTATCATTAATAGAAACATGGACAATGTACTCAAATTTTCAGCGTGATCGCGATTTGTGTCTAAGTGAATCTGGTTTACGTAGAAACTGTAAATCTTCTCGCCTTATGACACTAAAGTATATTCAAGTTTTTACTCTCTTTTTTGATTTTTGGCAGTTATACCGTCATCATTTTATGTAAGTCGTTTTCAGGATGAATTTCTACCTGAACTGCTTCTCTTTTTTCGATATCCAGAAGCACTGACTTTTTAAAAAAATTCGATTCCTCCAATTCAATTCTTAACTACTTGTTCAGTAGTCTACTTTACAGTTCTTTTTTTGTAACGTATTTCTTTTCCGGTCAGCTTCGGAACCGGCAATCTAGCTAATAAACAACAACAACAATAATGGATTGTCAAATTCAATAACCTAGTTAACACTTATGAAAATGTCAAAGTTAAACATACCATCCCAACCTAATGACACAGGGGAACAGTTGGAGACAAGTCATTATGAATCGAATGATCAATGTCATACTTATGATATTAAAGTCTCACGCCAGAAAGGAAAAAGATAATGCACCGTTGTTTCTTTCCTTCTTCAATAATTCTCTACCGTTATTTTTATTCCAATTTCTAATAAAATACCAAAGGAAAGCTGAGATCTTTGGCTGAGTTGAAAGTTTAAAAATGTACATTATAGCTCGTTGAAAAAAAAGGAATTGCTTTCAATGACCAAAGAGAATTTGGAAAAGTGTTCTCCTCGTTTTGTGAAAAAATGTTTCACCTTTCAAACAAACAAAATTCGTCGAATTAGTCAAGCCGCAGATATTGGTACCGAAATGAACGTGAGTCACTCGAATTCATGATTCAGCACAGGTTACAACACCATTAGCTCACTAATATACAAAAGTAAATCAAAAAGAAATCCTAGTCGATTTCACAAAAAGATTGCGTCTGATAAAATACGTATCAAATACTACTCAAACTTACTTTACAGGCTGATGGCAGAAAAAAAAGAGGTAATGTATAATTCTTTCTTTCTGCCATCTGGTTTAAATAATAGTTCTCTATCATTATTTTTATTTCAATCCCTAATGAAATGTCTGAGGTCATTGGTATGATCTTTTTCCTTTTCTTTCTCTTTCATTGAAAGTGAATAGCATAAAAACAATAGAAGAAGTTGGAAAAACTCCACAATATTTCAAATGAAAAGTAAACACTTCATTTTATATTTTTATTCTTTCATGTCATATTTTGCATGCTATATACATTGATTGAATTTGAGAGACAAAAATCTTTCTTCTCTCGAACCTCAATCATTTTTATAATTATTCTTCGTCAACAACTTCGCATTATTTTATTTCAAGGACACGTTCATACTACTAGAGAGAGATAGTTGATATTATCTTCGAATAATTTTTCAAACTATCAGTCGTAGAATATGACGGATATTCCGAATACAGGACTGTCTGTTGGTATCGTTCTACATTTTACAGTCTTTACTGCTTAATATGCTATCGATTAGAAATACATAGGATCTCAAGTGTAGATTATTACTATAATAATTAGACTAATGTTGTAAGCATATGTATGGAAGATATCCATTATGGCTAGTTATCATTATATCCAGCTTGGTATCGATTGGTCTCCTCTGCTGTTAAATATTTATTGGTTATTCAGTATTTTGTAACAGGTGGTACGTTCGGTATGGTCAGGCAGCATTTTAGCAGTAAAAATCCTCAACTCATCAAAGTGGCTCTGTAAATACTTCAACGTACAAATACTTTCCTTCTTGTCATTCATAAAATATATATTTCTAATTACATAAATAGATCATCAATGATTCAGAAAAACTTAACAGCAGAATACAATTTCCACTTGAAACCGAGAAGAATAATTCATATAGTTTACATGTCCGATATGTCGAACGAATTTTGGATTGTGTTGATCGATCGTTTTGTAAAACAAATATTTGATTAAGCATTGCTAAGACGGTCAATGGAATATATTTGGTTAACATGGCAATGTTCAATGGTCTCAGTGTTTTGGAAATAGATTGTAAACAGAATCTAGTAATTTTTTGATTGTTCACGTCAATCCCAACAGAGTCAAAAGATACTAATTTAACTTCTTCACTGAGTTCATTAGTAAGGAGTGCTTTAGATACTTGCTCAACATAACATTTCAGAGATTTACAGTCATCCGTCTGAATACATATGTCCCGTTGTTTGCTGCTTTTGTCTGATATCAAATGCTGGAGGCCCGAACAACTTTGCCTATACTGTTTCAAATCTCATTTATTTTGCTCTTAAATATAGGATACGAAGAGGAAGATATAGTACACAACAGTCAAGTGGCAATATATTGATGATTTCTGATGAATTAATACCTTGCTATCTACTTTAGAGTAGTAGTTAGAAAGGACCAATGAGACTGTCTAAAAAGTCTGATATAGCCTCCTCGACGCGGTTTTTGACGATGAACACAAATCTGATATTTGTCTCCAGTTATGAGTGAGAACGGATGGAGAATGAACAAGAATTTGATAACAAAACGGATGAAAAATAATTTTTGTAAGTATACACGATCATCTTGTGACCGCTGATTATGCGAGGAAGAGCCTTTACTATCGGTAATCGAGGAACACTTCGTAGGATAGATTGGAGGACATGTGTGTGATTTTCGAAATAACTAACACGACACAGATCGCTTTTTGTGGCGAAACCGATTTGGCACTGAGGATCAGATGATGACAGTGAAACATCTTTGTTCTATTCCAGTGTCGGTGCAGAAGATTGACATTTGCTGGAATGCAATCTGGGCAAGGATTGGTAGCGTAGGGGCCGATGTGATTGGAGGTGGTGCTGGACTGAATCAACTAGACTGATCATGTGGTTGTTTATGTGAATGACAACGCGAATTGTCATAAAAAATGTCACGTTCAACGCATTTTTTCGACGTAAAATGACAAAGTTAGGCTTTTGACATTGGGTAGGTTCGCACGTGCAGTCTGTTTTCACACATTCTGGTCCGATCGGGCAAGACTGCCCATTTCGGCAAGATACATTGCCCGAACAGACAATATGGTCCGATCGGACAACGAGTATCTTACCCGTTTTGGCAAGATTTCTACGTTTTTTTCTTTCAACGGATTAGCGCATATATCACAGCAATGCATTTAAACACTTATTCCACGTGATAGAGCGGTAAAAACTGCATCAAACTGAGTTTTCTTTGAGTGATATGGTGCTTTCTTCTTCGTGCTGGAGAGCCCACAGTTTATAACGTTTTATGATCGGGACAGACAAGAACGCTGACATATTTTCACTAGTTCTTTCCATTAAGGAAAAGATATATTTTCATAGCGTGTTTCGAATAATCAAATTTTTATTTATAATCAGCTGATAAAATCTCTGTAAGTATGATTTGCATTTAGAAAATTTAATTTTCCAAATGTACAGAAAGAGAGAAAACAGCGATTCGATACCTCTACCGCATTGTGTATTGTTTTACTCTCTTTGTCATTAAAAGATTTACACATAACTGTTACATCTCTCTTCTCTGACATTCAAAAACTTGCTTTCGCTTTTAAGGTGCCGCTAATGCAAAATTAAAGCAACATTTATTTTTCGTTTCCTCATACATGGTTGGATAGAGTTTGATGAGTTGATCACAAATATGTGTCTTTTAATTTTTTTTGAGCGACTTTAAAGTAAAAAACTTCGATTTTCTCAGATAGTCTACAGATAGCCTATTTTTCCAAAAACAATTAATTCTGCAAAATCAGCCAATTTTTTTTACTCCGCTTCATTCAATGTGAAAAATGGGCCGAATGGATTCATTACTAGAAAATCACTGATCATATTGGATCGTTTTGGTCATTTTGAAAAAGAGGGTGCCTGATCATCGAAAATCCATCGTTTTGCAGAAACTTCTCCTGAACAAAATGTACTTTCATCAAGAACTAAAAAGAGACACGAATGTACATTAAAAAAGTAGCTTAATTTTTGCATAAGACACCTCCTTTATACAATAAAACACATGGTGGATTTTGTTTTGGCATTTTCCACAATGGTTTTTCATCGTCTGGTATGGTATAATAATGATCTTTTCGATCAATAAAGTACTGGATGAAGCTTTGGCGATCCTGAACTACATCTACTCGTTCGTGCCCTTCAAAGTAGGGCCGTTGCGAATTTGATTCAAAACGAGCTCCCCATCGATGAAGGTTCAAACGACACGACTGTTGAGATCGAACAAGATTAGCGTTGTTATCTTTAATTGTATCAGTTACTTCGTAGTACTTCTGATCAACAAAAACGACCAAATCCAAAGCAGTGAAATCGGCTGACTTCCTTACACAAGGTCCAAGTGCAAATGTTTTGGCTTCTAATTCAAGCTCAGGAAAAATATCATAGAATTCATCGCCACGGCTTCCACCTCTATTCTCGCCACAGAATTGTTCAAAATCTCCTGACACAAAAACGTCTGTCCATTTCTGTGATGTCTGACTTGACATTGCACCGATTTGTTTCAAGGACGCATCACAATCACGCCACGTAATACCGAAATGTCCTAAGGTCATGTATAGTAATATACTAATGGGGATGATCAGTCTGGCCGGAAGACCTTTAGCTTTTTTTCCATAAAATCTTAATAGTACATTCGGAAGACATGATTTTTTTATCATTTATAGTACTCATCTAGAATGAACGATTTACCATCATTTCGACCATATTCCTTGTATAAAATCAATATAACGAAGGATATGTTCCAAGCTCCGTAGCTAACTTTGAGAC